GGGAGGTTTGTAAGGCAGGTGAGCTGAGGGAGTGAGTGCTACGCGGCTGCCTGACATTACATCGTGAAACTCTCTTCCACTGTTGATTGGTTATTTTGGGCACAGACGCATCAGGATAAAGAACAAAACGGCAGAGTGAGGTGGAGCGGCATGTCGTGTGTGGCAAAGCAGGGCTTTTTCTGAGGGATGGGTGAGCAATGGATCATTTTTGACGGTAGAATTTGGGGGGGAAGTTGACATTTTTCATAGTATTTCGTGGGCGGTAGGATTTGGTACAGGATGATGAGGATTACTTCTGCCGTCTGAAATAGGGAATAATGCTTTGTCTTCTTTTTGAAAATTTAAAGGTAGAACAAATTGAGGAGCTTGATGTTTGAAGTGAGAATGAAAGAAGTTATGGCTGGAATTATAGCTTTTGGGACGAGGCAGAACTCGGTAAACGGTGGGTGCCATAATGTCTGCCATTATGGATAAGGTGAGGGCGAGGGAGAACAGATGACTATGACTGAGGTCAAGGTCCTTAGTTTTTTCGAAACATCTGTGCTGGCTCTCCCTTTCTATGCTTTTCTATCTTTACTGTGTTTTTTTGTTTGATTATATATCATATAATATTATATATTGTCGCATAATATCAGAGCGCCTAAGCGAAAAAACCAAAAAAACAAAAAAATCTTAAATTCGTTTTTAATCTTCTTCCTTAAGAAGAGCTTTAGTGTGTTTTATCAATTTACATATAGATATAAATAGCAAGATAGGTTATATATAGATTTATAGGCATGCAGATATCTATGTTATGTAGCTATGGATAGGCATAGGTAGCTATAGATATGTATAGATGTAGATACATACAAATGTATACATATTCTGCAGACTGTAGAGGGGTCAGCCTCCTGATCAGTCGGAGTTTCTCCCTCGCTGCCTACGGTTCACCGGGCAGTGCAGAGAGGGAGAAACTCTGACTGATCAGGAGGCTGAACCCTCTAGAGTCCGCAGAATGTGTGTATATATACGCAAGAGGTTCTGAACAGGGGGAGTTATAAGGAAGAAGATAAAGAACGGAATTCAATTTTTCCTGTTTTTCTGTTTTTCGCATTTGCGCTCTGATATTCATGTGATGATATATAGTCTATCTTTCTATCTATATCTCTATGTGAAGTAATTGATAAAACACAGTAAAGCTGACGATATCTACAGATTGTACATATATGTAGGCACACGTGGCTGGCCTTGTACGTAAGAGGTGATGAACAGGTGGGGCTTTCCTTCCTTCCCCCTTTTGCTTTTTTTTGCCTTCGCGCTCTGATTCACAGTGTGACAATATATGTAGGCACACACACACACACACACACACACACACACACACACACACACACACACACACA